GAAAATCTTGATGCTTATTTTAGTCTGTTTATTCCGGGTTTACGTAACCGATCCGAAAAAATGGGGTCCAATAAAAATAGAAGTTCCCGTTTTTGATACAAAGTATTGATTTAGGGTTGCTTATTGTTGCTTTCTCACTTTTTTCCCATCTCGGCCTTTTCTTGACTTGACACAGAATATACGGTAGTAGAATAATAGATGAAAAGTATAATGTGTGTACCTATTGCGTTGCGAGCGCGCATTGTGTTTGTATGCTCTCTTCGTATAGAATTTAATTCTTAAGTATTGAACAAATAAGTAATAATTAATGCTGTAAGTACAGGCATTAGATATTAGAAATGTTAAGACATATTAGTGTTTATCATCGAGTTGCAAGTTTTAGTAGCATTCAAGAGTAAAATCATCTAATCTATGATTTTAATCACAGAACATAAAAAGAGGTTTTACACTAATATATTTGCCACAATGGGATTTATAATTCGCGACTGTATGTGTTTTAATAATTGGACTACAAGCCTGCATTTTAGGTTCATTTGAACGTTATGAAACAAGGCCCATTTCCTTTACAATTATATTATGATAGTGATTATTACGTTAAATATTGGTGTCTCAGATAGAAGAAAATAAGTCATCATAATTGAGTATGAAAACTTCGTTTGAAAAGTATATCTAACAGGAACTATGGTCAAAACTCTACTCTCGACGCTGTGAGGCCGCCACTAACACGGTATATGTTTACACATATCGGAGTAACACAAACAGTTGTCCAATCACATATATTTTTTTGAATCACGACAGAAAAGAGCACACCGAACACCGTTTTCTTATCCGACAATTTTGAACTTCCCAGTCTCGACAAAAGTTGGCGTTTATCAAAAAGATGATCATATACACTAAGTTTCGCAGCATAATTACTACCATATTGTTAAGTTACAACTCTTTGTGAAACTAAACTTTTTTTTTCTTTCCAGTATGTCATATTCATATATGCATCCTCAATACTGAAGTCGCTGTTATTACAACTCAAAAGTTTCTGGAAATTATCGTTGTTGCTCTGCGTAGAACATAACAAGAAAGTCCTTAATGAACGCAGATAGTTCTCTAATGGTGGAATCAGAAGTAGCTCAGGGTTGCTCAATGAAATCTTGGGTGTAATTCTTCAAACTCTCGATTTTATAGTATATATTATAGTATACGATATTAGCAAATAACATAAATCAAATCAAATCACTTATAGATTCTTAGACTATACTTATAGACTATAGATTCTAAGATACTGACTACCTGCCTCGATCAGAAAGAAAGATACAAATTGTCAATCAGTAAAACGCGACCACGCAAATTCGAATGTGGAAAAAAGTAATAATTCGAAATAATAGTGGCCAGCATTGACCATAAATCGTCCGCAGAGTAAACCTTCCTATAGTAATGTGCACGGACGTTACAGTACCTAAAACAGGGTACGTTTCTTGTGAACATTCAATAATTCATCTGCAAATTACTTCAGCTGTGTCCTTCAATGGTGATCAATTATTCCAAATATAATTTCCACGATTTCTTAAAATCTTTTATATTTTCATAAAGCTTTTGAATTTTATCTTTTCATTCTTTAATGTTATTGAATTTGTATTAAATTTATATCGTCTGTCGTCATATGGAGTGGATAATAATATAAAATGTTATATGAAATATGAAATGTTAAAATGTATTTGAGATTCTTTCATATATATTTTATTTTTTATTAAAGATCTGGCTGTTAGCAAAAAACTAATGTTAACCTAGCAACAACCATTTCGAAATTTATTTCCTCAACCGTGACATTTGAATATTAATATGGAATATGAAGATTGGAGACGCTGATTATTATAGCTAATGTGTAACTTATCTTTCCGTATTCGCGTTGGCATATGCTTCAATTCAAATTCTAAATTACTGTCATTATAATATTCTAAATCAGAAATCAAGTATATAATAAAAGTTATAAATATTCGGATCTTTAATTAGATGGACTTGACAAAATCCAGAATTATTATTTTGTACTAACAATATCAAATAATTGTCATAAAAACGTTAACCGCTATTCTTGCGTTTGGGAACTTAAAACTGTTTTTACCTAATGACACTGTGGCCTCAAGCGTGGTTTAACGCATCGATTGTTATGGGAGGCATTGTTTTTTTTACACCTGAAACCTCGTTATAGTAAGGCTTCGACCGGAAGCGCAGAACACGATCTAAAAGACCGCATATAACTATACTTCTGCCTGCAACTTGGTTTGTTTAGATTTTGGGATGGTTATGATTGAGGAGGAATATAGAGTATCAAATATCAATTAATCCAGATTAAGATTGAACTCATCACCATAGTATTTTCCCCACTGCTAACACAATGGCTGAGCTCAAGAAAAATGGGTGAATGGTTAACTTACCACGCGGGTTAGCTGCGTATCAGTCTTACGAATGAATGAATAATTGTGTGCTAAATTTAATAAAATATATTGGTTCTTGAAAATATTACTCGTATTTCAAGTGTAAAGGTAACGTTCTGACATTTATGTTAGACGAAGTTGTATTTTTCGTACCCGATATCTTCTCCAAGTTGAAGAATAACTTGCAATGTTTAATATCCGTGATGTGTAAAATGTTTCAACAATGAGTAGATATTATGTATGTATTAATAAAACATTGACTAACCCGAATGGCAACCAAAATTAACGTGTTCTGTGATACAGGTCTTTGTTTTTGCTTTTGAATATGTTAATTGGCAACTTTAAATAAAGTTGTGTTTATCAGGCGACCTGTTAAGACTGTGAGTCCCATACCGTGCCAATGGTGGTGTGCACTCATTGACTCTTAATGATGGAAATATTTAACAAATTATAGTCACATAATGCATCAGAACGCGACCTCACCTAGGTTACTTATAGCTCATTACATCGAATTATGGCAATGTTTATTGCTATTCAGCTGAATGAATGAAAACTATGATAACAATCATGTCTGACGTGCTGTGGTCAAATTTAAATTCAGTGTTTTTTTTTTTAATTATATGTCGCTACGTCACGCTTTTCATTCAAACAACGAAATCCCTCAAGACATTGAAACAATTAAATCAGAAAATGCTCTCGTTCCCGAGTTTCTTAGATTGGATGTAAATAATGTAATTTGCTTTTTGGATTTGTATTTGCTTTTTTGTACCTACCTTATCTTTTTCTATTCGTCGTAGAACATAGAAAGGTGGTTCATTATATTGATCTTCATTCTTGGGTCAGAATATTGTAACAGACTAATGTAAATCATATTAAAAAGACATTGTTCATGCTTTTTATTTTCCTTTGAGTAATAATTTTATAATTTATTACTTTATTCTTCAATTATTCTAATGAACGTGACTTTCCATTTACTTTCATGTTTACGCAATTGTAAATATTTAATTTTTAATTTGTTCTTATCAAAATCTTGTTTTTATTTCACATTCACAGATCATCATAGATCGAAATAAAATTTGACGAAACTAGAAAAACCCAAGAATTCTGTCCACCGACTGGCAGAGTTATGAAAAAAAAAATCTCGATTCTTTTATAACGACAGACGCCGGTTTTGACTTCCTCCCTATAAGTGGATAATGATCTGTTATCTCGTCTTGCTGTAGACCGCAATTGCTGGTTTTAAAGGCGCTCGGCTTTCCGTTCCATTTCTAACATGAACCGAATTTGGTCTAGTAATTTGATGTGTTCGGAATTTCATTAATTTGTTGTATCATAGTAGTAGAGTCTATGGTTGAGATAAGTAAACTTTAAAAGGCAATTTTATCAAGCGTGGTTATTCCACTCAACCAATTCCGAGAATGACTTCTGTGAACTAGGATCTTTGAAATATAATATCAAAGTTGAAGGGTTATTTGCAACCCAACTAAAGGTTGGCGTCTCTTTTACATAGTATTGAACTTATTGATTTAGCTTGGAGTATTGATTTAGTTACCGCTTATACAGAATACCGCTAGAAATTACCTATGTAAAAGAGGTTTATAAATATTCTTACTAACCACATCCTGATATTCCGGGTAGGTAGTCAATAACCAGGCAATTAAGTATCACTGGTTTGTTGCTAAAACTCTTTTTGGCTTAAATTTGAAAAAAAAAAATATTGAAATTAAGTTCTGCAGGTGTCAGCAATTTACAATAGACTTCGCTGTCAAACTGCCAATATCTTAAGTTAAAGCGTGTGCATGTAAGAAGCGTCCTTGTGATTTATTCACAGATTCGCCCATAAATTTTGCGTTGCGATCTGTACCGTGCCTCCGGGGAACAGATGGCGCATCTGATTCTTTTTTTTTCTGCTCAAAACGAAATTCTCACGTTTATTTTTCATACTTCCTTTGAGACGTCTCATAATTATACTTTATATGAGAATGAAAACTCCGCGATTGTTTCAAACGAATCCGGAGTAACTCAATTATCAAACGAAACTAATTACACGATTCCGTTGCCAAACGTTATTATCATTAACGACGTCATTAACATATTTACTGGTTTACAAAATGTAGATGATCTCTATATATTCACGTTTTCTTATCCATAATGTAGAACATTCTCCATAAAATTCGCTATAATAAAGTATAATTTCGCTAATTATGGGTTTTTATCGATAACATCTATAGATTTACTGCTTCCCTCTATGGCGCCATTGCCCAATAATATTACATTAACGCTATTACCTACTATTTGTCTAACATTGTAAATATTTGGATACTCCAGTGAACCGGTTGTGCAAGCTACACATGCTTCAATTCTCGCGTATAGGTAGGTACTACGTTTATTCTCACACGCGTTGATCTATCGACAATAGTAAGGGTTCACACAGGAAATGAGACCAGTTTCACGGCCACATCCTTCTGTTGCACTATTTAATAACTATATATTAGCCGGTTAAATGGGATTTCGTATACAACCTTCTTTAATTGTATGTATACATGGATTAAACAACTCATTATTTTGTTTCAGATTCTTCACAAGTGATGATCCGGCGACATTAGAAGCAATAAAATGCATTTGAAAGTTGTTCTAACTTTAGGTGTAATCTTAGTTTGTGATGCAAAGTTGCCAAGATTAAGGCAACACATAGAGCCAAATCACCTTCCGTCAAATTTCGCACAGAATTCCCAAACTGCACGACCACCTCAAATAGAAATAAAAAGTCTGAAAACAAGTAGGATTGTCGATCAATACAAAGTGAGGCACAGACGAGATGTGTTCGATTCGAAGTCTTACGAATCTAGTTTGATATGGGCCCATTCGGAGAGATTGGACGACAATGGCGATGTACTATTGAGATGGGTAAACTCTGATTCCAGTATCACATTCAGATTGGAAGCGAGGACACGTGGTTATGTCGGTTTAGGTTTTAACTCTGCAAGAAACATGAGAGGAGCCGATTTGGTTGTCGCCTGGGTTGACGACAGGAATGGGAACGCTCAAGTTCTGGTAAGTTTTATCAGACATCTGTTGTTTTTTTCCACAACAAATGCAGGGTGGGCTCGCTTTTTACGAGAAATATCTTCCTTGTACTATTTACGATATCGATAATATATTGAACTTCATTCAATATTTTAATAAACAATTTAAATAAAGCTTGTTAAATTGTTCCACTATGACGAAAGGAAACGGGAGAAAGATAATTCATGTTTTCTTTTTTATTATACTTGTGACTAACATTTAACTTTCAAACAATTTTTTATCAAGCAAAAATTTTACTTTTTGTATTTATTTTAACTAAAGTTGGGTATCATTCTTCTAATTAGGAAATCTTATTACATCAAACGAGCACTATCGATTTTAGTCGGCACTTACTAATAATTGAAATCTCAATTAACAGAAAAATAATAAGATCGAATATGAGTCAAATTAATTTTGATAATATCATGAACTTAGTTGGAAATAAACAATGTTTTGGGTTTCTAGTTTCTAATTTTGGCGGGATTCTAATTCAAGTTTTGTGACTACAGTTTTAGACAGATGAAAGACATTTTCTATAAAAAGACAATGGTCTGCGGTTTAGGCATGTCAACGGCCGGGTATCGAAGCATGACCGCTGTCGTCATTGTCATCGGCACGGTTCAACTAAGCCTGTCGTCTGATTAGGAAATAGGATAACTATCCTTTTTAGTTTCACTTCAGGAAACTCCGTTGCCACTTAATATTCAAACATTTTGCTCCTTCTCTCATCATGATAAGAATTAGTATTTATTGGACATAGATAATTTTCAATATACCGCATCAAAATTACGTTTACGTTACGTTTCTCTATGCGTTTTTATTAACTCATTGAGATTATAACGAACTATAATTAATTACATGTTTCTTGGTTTCTCGTTTTTTATTATTATCTCGACTGTAGATCCTTGTTCATATCCTTCTAGAGCTTCAAGTTTGCAACAAACGAAACCATGACCGTTTGCATACAGATGCGTCATTGCTTGGTGAATTTATCCTAGATGTGATATTGTTAGCCGTTGCTATTGCCTTTGTCTGTTTTCCGATCACTACCATTATTGTTCATTGCGGTCTCTTTTTGATATCATTGATCCGACAGAAATGCTATCTATACTTTACATCTGGCACTATAAATTTATTTCTGTATCTGGTACTGTTTATAGTATAGTAGCTTTTTTTCATTGTTTGGCATTTCTAATTAATCTCTTATATATATTATGGCATGGCATAAGATGGCATTTCCCATTCATCTCTTATAGGGAAATAAAGAATCCATTTTATAATTCGTAATAAAAAGTGCTAGACAGAAAAAATATGATTAGTCATTTCTTTTAAATTCAGCTTTGAAGTTGTTAAAAAATAGTTATTTAAGATACGAGTGTTGAAAGTAAGGTTTTACGAATAAAGAGCGAAAAACCTTATACGCTCAAGTTTCTTACAACATTTTTCAATGCTTTTTGCGAGGAAATAAAACAAATATATAGGTTAATAAAACTAAGTATGTATTAAAGGTAAAAATTATTTGTTATAATTAAACGTGATATTTGAACATGTTTTCGTGTCATACTCGAAAAACCTTTTACGCTCAAGTTTCTTACAACATTTTTCAATGCTTTTTGCGAGGAGATAAAACAAATATATAGGTTAATAAAACTAAGTATGTATTAAATGTAAAAATTATTTGTTAAAATTAAACGTGATATTTGAACATGTTTTCGTGTCATACTTTTTTATTTGAAAATATTCGTTCTAGGCTCCTTGAAATACTTTTGCCTCTAAAGTTTGACATATTTTCATCAATTTTTTTTTAATTTCTTTGGTGCTCGTACATTAAAAAATACTTTCAAGCAGTAAAGGATTTCAGTACATTTTTATTTAACACGTGTTTAAAGACTCACTTTCGGTGCTTACAATGGATTAAAAAAATAGCGCTTTATGAGCAACTGTATTGAAAATTGTTTTTTTTTGTAATTTAGTTGTAGTACCTAACAGTTCTGTTTTAAATTTCCATATTTTATCTTTTTCTTATGTAATCGGGTCAGTGTGTGTGTGAAATATACAATTGTTGAGTAAATGTAAAAATAAAATTATAATTAATAAATAGGCCATAGGGCGCATGAAGTTAAATAACGAAATTCATTCGTTAACCCCGGACTTGGTACTGTCGAGCAAGAATCTCTCTGCTTTTCATTTATATTCCACGTAAATTATATTACAATATTCTTCAACAAATACGAGTGCTGCCTTGCGTCTGTGCTCCCGGGAGCATCTACAAATTAAGTTACATGTAGAATAGCTTTTCATTTCTTCTGCAGACGTCAGAAACTCTGAAAGTACTGCTTAAACTTTTTTCAGTTGGAAGTAATTCTTATTTGCTATGCTTTTGATGTTTAAATCTAAGTCATTTTCTGAGAACCTCTATACATATTTGTTGCTAGACAGGCGTAAGCAGAGAAGTAAAAAGGTTGGAATAAATTTGTATATGGAATGTTTAATAGTGAATAGAAAATCAGATCTCATTAAAAAGGCTCGCAACTTGCAACGCAGTTCTTCTGCCGTAAAGACTTCGGTTAATTCGATATACATATATGTTTCTAGGAGAGAAGCTATCCAGCGACCAAGTTGCTCATATTTTCGTATTATAATAATTTATATTCTTAATTTCTATTGATATCTACTATTGTTTTCGAAGAGAGGATTATAGGCCGTGCCTTGTCTGACTTTTAGGATTGGACGCAAGCATAAATCCTTGCTATTTTTAAGATTCTACAAAATATATAATCCTGTTTGCGTTATCAAACACGCTAACAAATTGTGGATGAACACTTCTTAATTGTTAGTTTTAGATTTTCATGGTAATAATTTGTATTGTTTTTTGAGAAAGTAGGTTCTCAAGTTATATTATGTAGGTAATTACATAAAAATCCGTTCGACGGTTTGGCTATGAAAGCGTATCAAACTGCCAGAGTTCCTTTCAGAAGAAATTTATTAGTCAAGGATTGCCATGAGATATGTCCTATACGTTTAAAAGATAAAATATATACGTTTGTCCCGATCTCCTTTGAGAGGATTCTTTAAAAGGGATCGTGAATATAAGAGAATAATGTTGGGTTTCACGTGTGAAATCCATATAGGTTCGATTTTCCAAGATCCCGACCGGTGCGGCCATATTTTGTGCTATAACTTAAAGCTAGAGGGAATGCTTACTTAACAGTATGTCAAAATCTTATGAAACAATTTTATTTTTTCTTTTCGTGTTAATAAACTACTCTTACGATTAAATCTGTATACTCAAACTAGATCTAATAATGAGTAAGTCGAGACGTCATAGGCTGAACCCCGAATAACCCCTCTTAGAAATATTCAGTATCAATATATGAATATCAAAAATAAACTTATGTTATTTCACTGTCGTTTATATTTTCCCCATATTTTCCGTATTAAATTACGAGTAATTTTATACATCGTTATTTCCTGGTATTTAAAATTCGTCAGACCTCGTCATCTTGTAATCTGCCTTACATTTTCTCAGTCAAAAATATAAGGATATTTTAGAGATCACAAAACTTAGACTTTATGGTTCACAAAATACAAGCCAAGTTTGTTCCTACTAATCTTGGTTTCTCAACACACGAGGTTATACAACGCACGTTTAGAATATTCAAATTTGATTAAGGGCAGGAAGTAAGACTAATCTATAATCGATACTTTGGAACAGTCGATGATCGATATATTATTCGTTGAATTTGGGCGCCCCTGGGCTGTAACCATCCTATGAAATTCTTGGGATAATTATCTATTCAATATCCTTGGGACATGAAAATTTAGAGCTTTAGTGTTGTACTTAATGTTTTTATTATAATGTACCTGAGTCACGTAAGTGTTAAGGTCTTAGATTTTTTCAACAAAAAGTAATCTTAGTTTGAAGTAATTTAGACTTACTGAGAAACATATAAAGTGTAGGTAAGCTTTAATATCTTTTGAGACGAAAATTTATTTTTTTTTGTGAGAAAGGCGAGAATATACCGTTTGTAATGTGAAAATATTTAATTTTTGTAATCTGAAAATGTTTAATACAGAGAAGTTAAGTCACTTTGTAGTCACGAATCATAGTAAGAATAGCATTGTGATATAATTGTCAAAGACTCTTTGTGATTTTGATAGAGTAAACTCAATCATTTGAATATAAATAAACTAGCCAAGGTTCATGTAACAATTAAAATATAGACATTGATATTTCGAAAAGTTGCATTGTCCTTCAAAGGGTTGAAGGTTTAATTGGCCAAAAGTTTACTTAGAACTTAATTAATTAACATCAACGAACTTTTGAACAGCCACCCCATGACGGTAACATCGATTTCCTATAGTAACAGATGAATAGCGTGAAATCAATTTCTCATTTTAGAATTCAATGTTGCCGAAACCAAGGTAATTGCAAATGGCGTCGAAATGTTGGGGAGAATAATCTAATAAGTTCGAAGACATATTTCACGTGATTTTGTGGCATTACTAGGTTTTCATCAATGCTTTGAAGTTTCAAATAGGAGTTTAGGGTTTTGACTGATATTACATCCACAATGAATGTTTTACGTTAAATCTTGATTTAGCAAAATTGATATTTGCTCTGAAATTGACAACTATTTATTATCTTTTTTGTTTCAATGAGTTATTGAGTAATAAAACAAATATGTGTATGTTTAGGATAAAAGAAAAACAAGACATGGATAAAGATACCAGGAAAGTAAAAGACAAATATACCTATATAGAAAACAAAACATTGTTTTAGTAGTTGTGTATTTCTTTACATTGATATACTCCAAAATTACTGAGCCTATTTTATAAACCTTTTACCTACCTACCGGAAATTATTTTGACACGTCATACATGGGTGACATACGCATGGGTTCGATTCCCATCTCAGGGTGCCAGGGACCAATTGGTTTTTTAAGCATTTTGTATTAAGAATAATTTTCAGTATGGCATTGTGAATG